GTCATTCATAGGTAGTATATCTATTCTATTCCTCATAAAATGACAATTAAAGAATTTTTTGTAAAACTTACAACTAGGGAATTATCTCCAGATTGTAATATAGATATAATAAATCCTGAGGCAATAGAATGTATTGAGATAAGCAAAGTACAGGATGCGACAGCAACTCAAGTCAGCATCAATTGTAATATCATAAAGTTACAACAAGTATAGAAATATATGTGCATTATCAGTCAAAACAGAAAATTCAAATTTTAATTCAGAATAGCAACGAAATATATTCACAATTCTAATGCAAAATACACACTAAACTTAGCTATATTTTCTAACCTTTGTACAATTAGAAAAATTGAATTGTAAACAAAAATTGCTTAGTGACATCATTGAATAGATTCGAAATCATGGTGGTGGATTGTCTACTCAGTCATATGCTAATACACAAGGAAAACAATTTGTTACTAGTTTGACTGAAATTATTTGGTATATTGATATGCGTGATCACCAGAAATTCAAAGATCGTAGTTATCACATACCTGAGCTTTTTCTTGAGTTTTTTGGCTACGCAAATCCAGAATCATATAAGCAATCACAAAAATCCTTTAACGCAAATGAATTATATTTACATTGTTAAGCTATTGCTTTATATGCTACTTCATCATGGATGCTAAAAGATAATTTTAATTGACTTCGTGATGTATTTGATAAATTTATAGTTACTATTTCTAACTATGTAGAATTTTTGCACAAACAATGGGACATCACTGCTATAAATCTAGCAACAGAAACCCTATATGAACTGTTAATCAGGCTACAATAGTTCAAATTCATAAGCATAATATTTGAGTAATGCCTGTGGATAAAACCAAATATTATTAGCTTGAACAGTTACTTAATAATAAACCATTATGGAAGCTAGTTGATCTTGAAGAATTTCTTCCAACAAATCCTATGTATATAAAAATAATATTGTGATATTTGATGTTAAAGTTTTTTTTTTTAATCATCTTTAGTGAGAAACAATATAGAATAAATTAATGCTTAAATTTGAATCTGTTATAAAATAAAATTTCAAATATTTAGTTTTTGTTATAATTGTTGATATAAAATAATATTAATATAAAAAACTAACAAAATATATTTTTTTTATATAAACAAAGAATATGTTACATACAAGGTTTATCTCATATATTTTTCTTTAAAATTGGAGAATATCAGTTCAACACAGAGAATAATGCTTTTAATGCAATCTTAATATAAAAAATTGATGAACAAGTTAGCGAAGAAGAGACTTTGTAACAAAATAAACGAATTATAAGTGAATTGCAAGAAGATATATCTCGTTATCATATACGAGCAATAAGAATAAACTACTTACATTCTTGTGATTTGCTTCTCCCAAAAGCCAAGACATCATCACTCAGGACAATCTATCGAATGCTAACTGGTGATGCTTCTGTAGCTGATACTACAAATTAAACTAAAGTCGATGAGTGAGTTAGAACTGCTTTAGATCTTGGAGACTCAGAGATTGCTATTGATTTATATGAACATAATACTGGAAGACCAGGTAAATATGATGCCTTCTAGGAAATAGCAGCTCAATTTCTTGAAGGAAAAGTAGCTAATACTGTGACTGCTATAGATGAATGTAGGCATGATCCAATCGTTCATCTTGCAACTACAATATCTGTGAATGATCTTTTATATCAGATTAAGAAAGAATACCTATCTGAAATAGCAATCCCTAGTACTCAATGGTTACAGTTACAGTTTTGGCCAAAAAATCTAACTAGGCTTAGTAGTTTACAGTTTACCAGTCATTTATCTTTTAAAATTCATAGTTCAAATACGTCAACTCCATGCCTTCTATCCAGATATTTATTATATATCTGCTCTATTTCGTTATGAGAAAGAATTTGCCATAAAATTTTGCAAAATTACAAATTTTATCTTTATAGATGATAAGCATCGCTGCAAGGTTGGAGAGCCAGGATTTCCTGTTGCTGCAGTTGAGAGAGAAAAAAAAGTTGTAGTTAATAGAAATACTACATTTGCAGTTGCTGACTATGATTATACTAAAATAGGTATTATACCAAATGTAATAATGATATGTAATATACCTGAATCTATAAATGCTGATTTCTATGTAGGAAAAGTATGTATCGGTTTAAAGGACCCAAT